TTAACAATGTAAATTGTTCGTACATCTTGAAATAGTCATAACTCGCTTTAAAATTAAAATATATAACTAAACGCTTATGAGGTTGTCTAGATAATAATCTTACCTATAGATTTTATAAGAGGTAAATTCACTATAATTTTTAAACTAACGGAGCTACACGTGTTCTGCTGAGCGTACAATTTGCTATATCGTACGCGTGTATAAGACGGTGAAAACATATGCGGGTGCGACGTCCTCTTGATACATTTAATTCATAAGTATTCACTTTAATATATTTTGATTTGCCGTATTTCAATTACGACCGGCATTAGGTTGTTACTTGCTGCGTCGTATCTACTTAAATTACAATTTTATGGTTTTTTCTAGGAATATACGAATAATGCGTRCACAACGATATTGAGTTTATACTAAAATAATATCTCATGTTACCATTTGGATATCTCAGTGAAGTACTCGTACTATTGAGTAATATCTTTTATTTTCTCCATTTATCATGAATTAATATTTAGGTCATATTAAAATTAATTCCTCTCTAAGATATTTATAACTTGTAATTTGTYCGACTTCCGTAAATTTATAAAATGTTTTGATCTTTTTATCGTGAAACGAAAAACATACAATACAATAATTTAATATACGCCATACATTTTATCTGATTKTTGGGTATTCAAAGAACCGTTTTATGACTCTCAAAGTCGATTACAGTAAACTGAAATCAGTATTTATATCTTAAAAATGTTTTAGAGGCATAATATAATATTGTAATGTTATAGTGTGCTGGAATTTAATGCCTGATAACAGTTTTATGACGGAAAAAATCTYAATATTTCATTGAYGATTTATTTTATTATTTTAGCATTAACTTCATGAATATAATAATAATCTCGGCGCGAACTGTTTTATAAGTTGACAATGATCTCATTCGAAAATTTATTGTGATCCCGCTGACAAAATGATATTATTATACTGAATCTAATATTTATGGTTGTATTTGTTTAGATTTTATGACCAAATAAAATTATAATATTATATCAATATGACCGTTCAATATATCATGCTTTATTTGTAACAATAAATTCACATAACACGATAACGTTTTTGTAATATCGAGTACCTTAATCTTACCATATAAACTGTAAATATGTTTTTGTCAAGTAATATGTATTGTGTATTGGACATAAACTGTATTTATTTTTTTATTATTATTATTTGAGAGGGCATGAAACATGAATAACAAAAACTTTACTCCAAGAAATTTTGATCTACTATATAGCATATTTTTAGTCTACGATTCAAATGACTAGAAAACTGTTATGAATGTGTTAAAGTTGAATTTAATAACAAATAATTGCAACGTTTTGCAGCCTGTCTTTCTAAGAATATTTCATAGTTTACTAATATCACCCTTGGTCATTTAWTTTTATTTTTTTTTATTTTTTTATTGTTTATACCAGAAGTTGAATTCGKTATAAAATATTTACTACACTAAAATATCATGATATATATTATTAATATTCTAAATGTTTTGAAAATATAATAGTGTATTAAAATTTATAGTTGTCACAGTTATTTATAGACACCCAAAATTGGTACAATTAGTTTCCCTACCAAAAACCATAATCAATATTGAAAATCGAAATTATTACTGCTCCTTCAGGTGAAATTGTAATTTATTCAGTACACATAACGTATAATATTATTGTTCAATTTCTTAAAAAATGTATAGTGTATGGAATTGTGCAAAAATGTCTTAACAATTTACCTGATTTTCAGAAAATTATAATTTTTAATTAATAGTATGTCTATTCGTATGCCTTGGATGGTTGAAATTAATAGAATGTGATCGAATATTTATTTTGAATAACTACCTAAATAACTATCGATTATTTAAGTATTAAAATATTCTATATTTGTTGTACACAAAAATTAATTACAATAATTACATTAATTACAATTTTAAGTGTGTTTTTTATTTATTTGGCATTTTGATTCCCAAATCCTAATAATAAAAATGTAATTTCGTTTTTGAAAATTGKTTTAAGACCTTTACTTTACGTGTTTGTCGTGAAATATTGGAAGGAGTGTATGCTTAGACTTTGGTTTATAGTTTAAATTTGTGACCAATAAAAAACTTGTTATGGATTCTGTTTGGTGCGTCTTAACAATATTTTTTTTTTTTTTAAAGTGAACACGTTTCTGTAGCGCTCTCAAAGTTTCATATTCTATTTTTTTTTCTACCGATTGGAAATTGGGCACATATGGTGGGTACTTTTGAAAACATTTTTTTTTTTAGAATTTCTCAATAGATTTTTTTAATTTTCCCTTAAAACTATTGAAAAACAACCAAAATAAAAGTGTGTCGAATTTACGACGAAAATTAGAACAAAACCTTTACGTATAAAAAATGTTAGTTCTATTGTGCTACTGTATAGGACTTATGTTAATTAAATAGGTTGTATTTTACTATTTATTTTTGTATAACAGAAGAAAAAATAATGTGTAGTGAAAAATWAGTGAGTGTTTACTGATCGCGTTTTTAAATTTTCAAAAAGTTTATCTACATATGGATTTATTTCATATTTTTTACATAATATACATTACAATCTTCATACTAATCGTTTCATAATATTATTTTGGTGTTAAATTGATATATTTGATGATGTGATATAAACACGTAGAATCCTGTTGCCTACATTTTTTTTAAAATTATAACATAAGACTCCCAATGACATATAATATAAATATATATCAATATACATAGAAATTACTGTGTTCTCGATTGATCTTTAATACAAAAAATACTCTCCACAAAAAGTAGGGAATTGTTAAGATATTATTCTTGAATAGTTAAAGTAAACTTTACGTGCCGTATAACATTTAAACAAACGTATATTATACCTCGTATAAATTTTCATATACAGCGACATTTCTGAAGGTACCGCAAAGTCCGCACTATTGCACGATAAAATAACTATAATTGAGGTGAAAGCGCAATAATGTGCGATGGTTTTACGAAKAACGTCTAATGTGAATTTATTAGAAGGTTATCTGATATATTTTTCCAGCAGATCGTAATTACGAGTTTAATGGCTTGTGTTTTAGAGACTTTGTGGACTTGCAGTGTAATATTTCTGTTGAAAAAACAGTGAAATTTACTTCATTAGCTTCAAACTCGCCGATTTTTGTGTTACAATAAATTTGTGACGTTATATCTCAACGTTAATTTTATTTTTTTTTGATTAGTTATCACAATCGATGGATGAAATTAATGATTGTTTGAAACACTAGTTTTTACCCATATTGTGATGAACTTATGACCGAATGTAAACGGTGTACTGATATTTTAATATAATATCTAGTTTATAGCATGACGAAATATATAGGTATCATGGCAGTTCTTCGATTCACATCCCTCGCTTTTCACTTTCTTAGTAGAAGTTTTACATTTTTTATTTGCTTTTTACCATAAACGTACGTATACAACATCGAAAAAAATCAGAAGAGAATAACATAGATTGCAAAATATGAAGGAAATACGTGAAATAAAAAGTAAAACGATTACAACTGTGTTATCAACTATKTATTTTATCATTGTTTATAGCTACATATTTTAGTAAGCTAATTGTAACTCTTCATAAACTCTATGTGGTCAACATTTAAAAAAATAAATTCATAATTGTATTCGTTAATGCTAACTCCGCATAATATGGGCATTACATACAGCTGATTTRGCATCATGTACTGCAAATCGTAATTTTACTGAATACATAAGTGTAAGACCTGATGCAGTAGTWAATGTTATTTGTTAGTAAGTTCTATACGTCAAGTGGATGCCGATAAAATTTTAACTCAAAGTGTATAAATATCCGATTATTTTATCTGAGTGCAACTTTGTTTTATAGTTTGTGGTTGAGAATAATAGTATACTTTAACACAGAATAATGAAACTTTCTGGAAAAAACCATCCATGGCAAAACAATTATTCTACATTATTGGCACATTAGTCATTTGGGGAGTTGAAACACGTACCTTCCGGAAGGGATGGTGTGAAACTGATTTTGGTTTCATGTCACGACTTATATTATGTCAGAAATTGTACTAAATTTTAATTTTTACATCTGTCTGCTTTATGTTATATACTTTCGATTACCTACCTAACTGAATTTCGATTAAACATAACAATAATGAAATTTTCAAAAACGGTTAAACAATTGAAGTGGAAATGGCTTTGGTACACGTACGCGTTCATAAAATATCTTGCGTCTGAACCTATTTTTCTCATTTAATATTAGTTATTATATTTAATACAAGATAATATTATTTCTTTAACTTACTGTGGTGAACATAAAAATAACTTTTACAAACTATAATAATACAATTTAAATAAAATGTGGTATTTTAATTAATAAAATTATAAGACTGAGAGTTTTTGGTAYATCATAATTCATAATAATGGTGTAATTAATATTTTCAAATATAATCGGGATTGAAATCAAAATTTTTTTACAGGGAAGTCGATGTTAATTATAATGTTTTTTTTATACATATGCTTCTATTATCCCCTTTAGGTAATCAATACATATTTTATCTGAGTTATTCTTGTAAAAATGTCAACTTTGACAGAACTCAAATTAGAATTTGACTTTTTTTATATAACAGGGACAACATAGAAATGTATATATGTTTTTTTCCAAAGTACAGATTGATCTATATTCYATTTATTTTTATCGTTGTGATTTTTTAATAAAAATTATTTCGTTACAATTATACGAAATATAAATAAATGTATATTGAATAGAAATTATGATATATTATATCAAAAATATGTACCTATAATAATATTTAGAACAAAAATTATATTGTAAACTTTTTTATCTGTGTCGTGTAGAAATATTATAATGGATAGAATATATTTTTTTATGAGTAAAATTGGTAGGTATATACATTTCTGAAAATTAATTATACTATTTGTTGTTTTGGATTTATCAGTAAAAGTTTAGTCAATATTTATCACGTTACAGTTAATTTACATGACGGTGGTCAGTATACTTCTAGTTGATGTCAAAGGTGGAGTTTTTAATGGAATTATGGAAAAATGCAAGACAGTGGGTAGAAGCTTAGCSAGGTAACGTTAATATATTTTCATCTATAAARCCTATTTAGACTTTAGAGATATACCAATGTGATTAATTTATTATTGACACTATGAGTCATCAACTATARTATTATAAGAAAAAACACGTTAGTCATACAATACGACGTTTCGTTTAGTATCATTATCGTTAGTATCAATAACTATAGACACATAATTTATATTGACATCATATCGTGATTTCAAATACCAAACAATATCACTATATCGAAAGTAAATTTATTGGCGWTTTTTATTAATCTTAATTAAGGGTTGAATTTTTCAAAACTTTAAAAAATCATTTTAAGTAGCCAAAAATTTGCACATATATATATATATATATTTAATTATATACCTATAAAAAAATAATTCACGGTTAAGTTTTTCACTAAAACTCTTGCTATTTGGTAACCTACAAAATAATAATATATT